TTTTCCACCGTCTATTTAACTCATTAAAGTCAGCATAATATTTTAAATTTTTAAAAAACCAATTCAATATATTGATATGTAAATTGAAAACAAAAAATTACTTTTTTTTTTCATGATTCTGAATCAACAAGTTGAAAGTTGTTTGATCTAAATTAGTTTAGAATGAAAATACAGTTTTTAGCCTTTAAAAATGTATAACCTTAAACAAATAAATATGTTACACATGAGGTTGAAATCATGGGCATTAACAAAAGTAATGAAACTTTCTTCGTTGCCATTGATTATGTTGCAACAAAACTCTTTGTCTAGATATCCTTCAAAGAAAACAAAAAATTACAAAAAAGTTAAGTTCAAAATCAACATTGGAAAAAATTCTAGTATTATAGAGACATTTATTATAAGAATACATAAAATAACAAAAATTAGTATTTTGTATAGTAAAAATATTGGAGAAAATGCTCAAAGATCTATGCTTGCTCTTTGATAAAATAATAGTTTTTTTCTTTAGTATAAAAATCTAACACTATATATTATAAGTTGCTTTACCATTCGTTTTAATAGAATGTGTTTTTTTACTATAATCTGATTGTGGTCTTATGTGTTATATATATAGTGGCAGGGGGATCCAAGTCAAATAATATTATTTTCTTTTCCGATTCACCCTCTTTTAAAACAAAGAAAAATTGGGTTGTATAACCATTAAAAAAAATATATGTTAAAATCTAGGTAAATCTTTCTATGTGGCAAAATCCTACCCATTAAATCTAAAGTTTTTTTTGTTAGGTTTTGAAATATAATTTTTTTTTGGTTATACAACTAATTGACCCTAAAACAAAATCTTTCTATTCCTTTTTTTTTGTTAACTTTTGTTTGAATTCTTTTATACAAATACAATAACAATTCAATATTCCTACGGATCTCATTTAGATATGCTAGATTGTATAACAAAAGGTTTGACTATAAATTTGTTAAGCGAGTTGCTTATTTAATATATAGGTCACGTAATTAAAAAAATAGGCTAATGTTGAATTTTTTTTTTAATCTGAGAATTTACTGAAAACAGAGCGAGAGGTGATTTCTTACCTGAACACATACGATGGTCGCACCATCCGTATCCCGACCCGCTGATCAAGCCTAACGACACAATCAAGCTCGACCTCGAAGCAAACAAGATTGTCGAGTTTATCAAGTTTGATGTAGGCAACGTAGTGATGGTGACTGGAGGAAGAAATAGAGGGCGTGTTGGAGTGATAAAGAACCGTGAAAAACACAAGGGAAGCTTTGAAACAATCCATATTCAAGACTCAACAGGACATGAGTTTGCTACGAGATTGGGAAATGTGTTCACAATAGGGAAAGGAACAAAACCATGTGATGCAGCCTCACAAACGGAGATTACGTGGAGGATGGATGGCTCGAACCGGCCGTACGGCACCTGTTNCGAGTCGGGTAGCGATGAACGATGGAAGCGAAGNGATGAACGGATCCGAGTNCTGGCCGTACGGCGCTTTCACTACGGACAAAGAGATGAACAAGCGGAAGTGAAGANGGATCGAAGGTCACCACGAGCCGGATGGAAACAACTCGATACTGACGGCCGAACAAATAGAAATCTCGGATTTCGAAAGTTGCTCAAGAAAATTCTTAAGAGAATGCTTTTTGCTTTATTGATCAAGGGTGTAAAATTTACAAGGCTGTTAGGGGACTTATATAGTGGTCCGATCAGCTATGCCCTTCTAGGGGTCTTGNCATTTATTACAAAAGATCGACATCTANNTAATTAAAACACANTNGGCGAAACAAATGCCCTACGCTACTTAAGGAAAGAAATTTCAAAACAAGTTCAAATAAGGAAATGGTTAGTATCAAAATAATTAAAAATAATCAAAACTTACCTTAGTGAAATAGAGCCGTTGGAGCGCTTTGATTTGGGCGGATCCTTAGTCTTCAATGCGTGATATTCCAAAGAAGGTAAGTGTCCGTTGCAAGTGTCCTTGG